ACTCTGGTTCCCAAGCACTAGACCAATGCCCTAACTACTGGGCCATCCTTCCTCTCTGTATTGGAGATGATGTTTCACAGCCAAGCCCGAACAATAATACTTAACCTTTGCAAAGCTGTCTAGGATTTTATACCACACCCTTCAACAGAGTTTCTGGAGGATATTAACCTCCACACATTGAGCCTTATGGACAGAAAATGTCACCAATATTAAGTTTTATTTATACCTACATGAAATGGTAACGGAAGGTGAAACAAATGCAGTAGTCTATGGATTCCAATAATAAAATTCCCATTTTTTCCTCGCTTTGCTTCCTTAATTTTTTTGTATCACTGACGGTTTAGAGCTGTCAGTCCTCTAATAGTGAGAACATGGGTGAGGTATTATCTCTTATTGGACCAACTTCTATAGGTGTGAGAGACAAGCTTTTGAGCTTACACCAAACCAAGCTCTTCTTCAGGTTCTGAAGCTTGAAACCTTTTTTCTCTCAGCTATAAAAATTGTTCACTAGAAGATATTACCTCACCCACCTCATCTCACTCATACGCTGGGACCAACACGGCTACCATGCTGCACACAGTATAATCCTTTAATATGCATTTTGTATTTTTGTGAAATAAAAATGAAGAGCATCTCTAAACGTAATACCATGTTCTCTACTCTGATGCAGTATCTGTTGGTGACTTTAGTGGCTTTAGCACTTAGTTCAAGCATATTGATTTTCTCTCTGCTGTAAAGGTCTCACACTGTGCAGCAGCGACGCAGAGAATCTGCACTGGAGACTTGTTTACCCTCTAAGGCTGTGTTGATGCAAGCAGGTAGTTAGAATTTACATAAGTGTTTTCTTATGTTTGATAGAACTGCTGTGGAAAGCTCATGTTTGAAATATACAAAAATTCCATTTCTAGACCGAGAATCTACAGACAGTGGAAACCTGCTCTGTCTGTATGGAGGGGTAGTGGCTGCCCAGAAACAGGGTACCCCTGGACAAAGAAGGTGCATGATGATTCAGAAATCATATTCATTACTGGGTTAGAGTAAGCTATACAGCTTGGGGAGGATTCCATTCCTCTTCCTCCCCCACCGCTACCCACTCACTACCTGGATGGGCTGGTCACTGGCCCAATGCAATCCCATCCCCTATCCCACATTTCTGCAAATCTCTCTCATCAATGCCTGCATGCTTCAGTGAATCACTCTATAGGGAAATTGACTCTGATACTGGAGCCCCAAATTCTCTGCCAATGTCCTCAATTAACAGCAGCTCCTTTTGACAAATTACACAGGCAAATCTAAATTAATTGGCTTTCCCGTTCATTAAAAAAAGTAAGTTACCAGCAGAACACAGAACAAATTAAAAATACTGAAAAGTCAAATATGTTGTCTACCAATAAGTGTCCACTGAACACCAGACAAATTTAACAGAATTAAATACTCGGTATGAAAATTAAGCCAGTAAATTTCTGATTTTTAAGGCAGCATTCAAGCGAAATAGAAGTTGTCTGACAACCTCTAACTGGATGTTCCTATACTTGTATTAATTGGTAGAGGCTACAGAGCTGATTAGCGTCTCAGCGCAATTAACCTTTTGTTTCTACAGTTTGAATGTAGAAACTGACCTTTCTGTTGAATGGTCTCCTAAAAAGAATCAAGACAAGGAATAATTCAGTTCAGTAATAATTTCTCTGATTTCCAGGATCAAAGAACAGCCGTACACTCCAGCTGCTTTGTAGATGAAGCAACTATAAACCTGGATTATTGCCAGAGTGTTCTGGAGAATCTAGCCCCCGATCTTCAAAGCAGCAAAGAGAAACAGCAACACCAGCTGGAGTTGCCCTTTGGTTGCAGAATAGAAAAATGAAAAAATTACTTGCCTACAATTCTACTTAATTGGAGATTCCACACATCACCACTTACTTTTGGGCCCTGATCTTGCACTTATACATGTTCTTAACTTTACTACGGTAGGTAGTCCCAGTGATTGCACAAGTGATTGTAGTATCAGGGCCTTAGCTTCCTGAGGTGAGCTAGAATGGAATCTCCTAAACTTAGTTTTATGGCTCTTCTTAGTAATTAAACAAAAAACCCTGAGTTAAGATTTTTTTCCTCACAACAGAGATGAGAATAGAAGAACTTTCTATGAGGTATTGAAACTGAGGCAACAGTAAAAGTGCAGGACTTTGTTTTAGTAAATAAAAGGAATAAGATTAAGTTAACTGGATGAGGGATTTGGTAACAGCAGGTAAAAATGCTACGGGTTACTGCTTCTAGTGCTAAACCACTTTGAATTTGCTGTTTCATGCTAATCAATCCAGGCTTCAGTTCCCAAAGGCTGGAGCCTATTTGGAAACTAATAGAGAAGACCCAGCATAGGAGTACAGAATTTAACACAAGGCTAGATTTCAAACTGTTAAACCATTCAAGTAGAAATTTAGTCCTCTGCTAACTTAAAACACAATTGAAGCTACAGCCTTCAAAGAGTCTCATTTAGTGCTAATTTCCAAGACAACAATCAACAAATCAGTTCACTAGCTTTAATGTCAAGAACAAAGGAGCCTACCTGGCCATCATAGAATATAATATTTGGGGGGGAAGGGGAGAGAAAGAGTCCGTTCTGGTTAAGATCATCCTAGTTCAGGAAACAGACACACAAAGCTTTGCTGAAGCTGAATAGAATTTCTCCCAAACAAGGCTTGATGTTTGTTTCAATGAGAAAAAACAAGCTAGACTTGAAGAAAATTGTTAGTGGTTTGTCAGTTTCTATCAGCCCTGTGCATCTGAACATGTGCCCCTTTAAGGTGGGCCTAGGAAGAACAGAAAAGTGAAAGTCCAAGAATTTCCAGATCTCTCTGCTCTCAAATGAATCCCTTCAGGCTATCATGCATCAGCAAACAGAAGATTACACCTATCTACCGAAGTTTTTAAAACCCATACTTGAAATAGTCTTTCCAGACAGAAAAGTACTGCTTATAACACACGAGTGGTTAAGTATGATGCATCACATCTTCAAACGCCGGAAGGGATCCTAGTTTGATTTCTTGCACAATGCAAACCTATAAAACTTCACCCAGTAATTCCTGCATTAAGCCTCTATAACTTCTGGGTGATCTATTTCTTCTTTAGATTAACAAAATTACCCGTTCTTCAAATAAATGTATCTCTCTACAACGCCAGCAGCTCATTTCCATTTCTAACTAGAACACTATTGGTAGTTCCAGTGGGAGTTGGTGGCATATACTGTAGTGAATCAACAGGAACTGTCACTCTAAGCAGCATGGCATTTTCCTCCCAAAGGTCAGAGTATTAACCCTCATAAATTTGAGTCTTTGTGACCTAAATGTTCTTCTTTACAAAATAAAATCAAACGACAGATTCCAAGGCCCAACAGGACTACTGTGCTTATCTAGTCTTACCCACTGTGTAACACAGGCCATAGAACTTCCCCAGAATAATACCTAGAGCAGATGTTTTAGAAAAACATCCAATCTTGATTTAAAAGCTGTCAGTGACAGAGAATCCACCACAACCCATAGTAAACTGTTCCTATGGTTAAATTCAGATGCATCTGAAGAAGTGAGGTTTTTACCCACAAAAGCTTATGCCCAAATAAATCTGTTAGTCTTTAAGGTGCCACCAAACTCCTTATTTTTGTAGATACAGATTAACATGGCTACCCCGATACTTCACTTAAAAATCTACACCTTATTTCCAATCTGAAGTCTAGCTTCAACTTCTACTGAGTGGATTGTTATACCTGTTGTCTGCTACACTGAAAAGCTCATCAAATGTTTCCCATTTAGATAGTTATAGATTGTAGTCACCCCTTTAAACCTTTTCTTTGTTAAACTAAATAGATTGAGCTCCTTGACTCACTATAAAGGCAGTTTCCAATCCTTTAATCATTCTTATAGTTCTTCTCTGAATCCTGTCTGATCTGCCATCTTCCTTGACTTGTGGATACCAGCACAGGACATATTATTCCAGCAGCAGCACCACCAGTGCCAAATATAAATGGAAAATAACCCCTCTACTCCGACTTAAAATTCCCCTCTGTGCATCCAGGGAGTATTAGCCCCTTGGCAACAGCATTGCACTGGGAGCTCAACCCCAAATCTTTTCAGAATCACAGCTTCCCAGGATAAGAGTCTTCCATAGTGTATGGCCTGCATTCTCTCTTCTGAAATGTATACATTTACCCATATTAACACAAACTGTTCCCTTCCACAGAGATTAAACTATCCCGATCACTCTGTATCCATGACCTATCCTCTAAACTGTAGAAGACACTCAATGCTAGACTGTTTCCCCTTCAGTCCAGCAAAACAATGCCTATTTATGTACTGCCTCTCTATCTCCTTACTCTTGTGGTAAGCAACTAATGGTAGGGTTGATGCTGCATTTATAACATTCTTGTCCTGCCTTTCACCCTATAGGAATATCTCTAGACTGCAATTAAACACCTGCAGCTGGCCCGTGCCAATTTACTTAAGCTAAGCTGACATTTGGGTTCAAGCTGGAGCCCAAGCTCTGGGACCCTGCAATGCAGAGGGAGAGTCCAAGAGTTCAGGCTCCAATCCAAGCCTGAACATCTACAGCTAGCACAGGTCAGCCGCAGGTGTTTAACTGCGGTTGTAACACCCACTTCCTAGGGTATATTGAGGCAATAGGTGCCCTATTCACTTATTTAGAAGTTATCAAAAAAACAAAGCTCTTCGATTGTGTTAACAGTTTAATCCTTTTTTATGAGAGAATAAGGTCTAGTACTTCGAGTGTACTAAGATTTATTTCATACAACGTTGGCTATAAAGATGGAGGATTTCTTTGCACAACACTCCCATTAAGAAATACTATATCCCAATAACAGTTCACCTTTTCATATAATAGTATAACAAAGGAGCATAGTACACAAAATCATTTCACTTTGGCTACAGTGAAGCAAATTTAAACTCCTTACAATGGAAGTTGAAGTTTCAAGTATCCACAAATTAAACAAAGCAGAATTGACTGTTAAGCCATTTTATTTTATACACAAAATAGCATGGCAAAGACTTTGTAAATTTAGTGCGCCGGTTATCCAAATTAGGCAGAGAATTATGTCCAGAAGTCTCCCTGCGACATCTCATCTTCTTGAAAAGCGCTTAGTCCAACTGAAATAAGGAAAAGAAGAGCTGTGAACTTAATATCTAGACAAATTAGTTTCCAAATCATGCATTTTCTCTGGTTATTACATTGATGTTTAAACATCAGGATTCAGTCTTACAGCAGAAGGCTTATACTAGTGCCATCTGAAGGAACTATTTGCTCATAAGGAACAGATTGCCAGGATCAGAACCAAATCATTTACATGGTTACAAGCTTCCAAGTACCCCCCAGTTTCATGAAGCCCAGTACAGTCAACTACAACTGGTTTGTCTGGACCTCACATTAGAGCACCAAGACTGGTATTGCCTCAATAAATATGAAGATTTCCTTTGAGCACATGTATTTCGGGAAAAGGTCCGTTTCTTAGAGCAAACGGTAACAATAGGGACCATGAGCTAAGGGATCGCATAAATCCCACTGCACGGGTGACTTCTCCGTTAAAACCAACTACACAAATTACAGGTCCAGGCCTGACACCTCTTTCACCCCCTCTCCCACAAGGATGAGCTCCGGAGCGAGCCGGGAGATCAGCGGCAGGCGGTGCACGGCAGCCTGCGGCGGAGCTGGGGGCCCCGCCGGACGGGGGGAGCCCGGGGCCCCGCCCGGCCCCTCACCTTGATGAAGCCGATGTCCTTGGCGTACTGGCGGAAGCACTGCCGGCACATGTTCAGCCCGTACTTGCGGATCAGGCCGTGGCGGTTCGAGCACACGCG